CTGGGTACAACAGGAATCAGGTGGCTGCGGTTTTCTCGGGCTACAAAAAGCTTTATAAACTGTATAACCATGTTGGTAGAACTAAAAGTCAAGGGGTTTTGGGCTCCCATTATTGAGCGGGGTGTGGGCCCCTCTCAATATCTTTTGTTTGATGCGTGACCGCCAAAAATACGGGTAGGAGATCCCAGAAAGGGCCCTCTTTTTCCACGCGGGTCGCTAGGCGCCTGGGGAAAACTTGGTGCCGTGGACCAATTTCAAAGAGCTTAGTTTCGTGGTGTCTGGCACGGGCATCCCAGAGCGAGCCTTTGCCTCGAAGCATCAAGCCAATCTGTGGGCCGCGCGAATAAGCCCAACTGCCCTCAAATGTGCTTAACAGTGTTAAAGGAAACCAACATCGTGGTTGAAGCTCGCACGAGTACATGTAGATATTCATTGTGTGCGATTGCAAGTAATCCATTGTGAGAATTTGTGTGCCGTCCCCAGCTCCGCAATCTTCCATTAAGTTTTGCCTTGCACAAAACAATATGTCCTGTTAAAGTCTCTGGATCCTCTTGGGACCATTACCCAAGGCAGCCGTTTTTCATCCAGTTGAGCTTTGATGCATGACAGCGTCAAGCTGGGCTGAGAGGGCCGTTTATTGCCTTACACGCGCAAAAGGCATAACATCATATTTGGCCGCATTGGCCTGGTGATGTGGTTCATGGTACGCGAATGCGAGAGAACACACAGTTGCCCTCCCAAAGTATAGTCATGGACCATGGGTCGCTACATCTTTTTCTGTCATGGGCAGGTGATGGCCCGGGTGTCGCTACAATTTGCTCAGCACGGTTTTCTGATTGTTGTACCCGTCATTCGGATCGAACATCTATGGTCGCAGAAATGCAGTGTTGCCCATTCGCTCCCTGAAAAGATTTAGGTTTACCTCCTCATCGCTCCGGCTTTCTAGATGTTCAGGGAAAGGGGGTTCATCATATGCGATGCCAACTCAAAAGTCAGTTTGTCCCTGTCCCAGTCATGTGTATGCATGTGCTGAACTCTTTGCGGCTCCGCCAGGCTACATCCTGACAAGGGCGGTGACAAGCAGCAGTTCCAGCAACTACAGGCAGAGAGACGGGAGGGGTTTTTGGCGAGCATGTGAGGAGAGGGGCGAGTGAAGAGGGACAGCGGTCAGGATAGTGTCTTTCTTTAGTCATTAGTCGAAAGGAAGAGAAGGCGCTTGGACACAGAAGTATGTAACGGTTTTTCGCTGTCTTCTTGTTGGCTTTTGTTGCCCAAACCATTGGGGGACAGAAAAGGTTCCGGCGTGGCAGGGAAGGCTTGTGATTAGCTCATGATTTGAAGGGAGGCAGATCAATCTGATGCTAGCAGCAATATATTTCAGTTGTGGCAGATGCCTTGCAGAGAGTGGTTTGTTGCCTTGACTACCTCGTATTTTGCATGTCGACCTGCTGCGGCTGGAAATGATGTGGAGTGTGTTGAGTCGAGATGCTCAGTTGTCAAACATGCCATCATTGATTTGCAAGTGACCAGCCTTGACCCGCCTGGTCCACAATGTTGCAGAATTGCACTGTATGTAATGGGGTGAAACTCTGCAAGTTTGCCTCCTTTCAAGCTGATGATTGTTCTTTTGAACTGATTCGGCTGTCAGAATGGTGTTGTGTCCGCCAGACGTGCAGAGCAGCTAGTGTCCAGAGCACAGCTTTCAAACGCATCAACGGTTGGGCCTTTGACGGGGCATCGGATCTACAGATTCCTCCAACAGTGGATTGCATTCCAAGTTTAAAACGACTGCGGACACTGGGTTTGTGATATCATCATGCGCAGACAAGTGCATTTCGGCTTGGGCCCCATGTTGAAAACCTGCCTTGCAAAGCCCTGCCAGTTGGAACATGTTTGGAACTGGTCGACACCATTCTTCGCGAAAGTCTTCATGTGCATGCACGGGCGAACAATTTGCCGTGGGCCCGTGTTCTAAGAAGCATGTTGGCAATTTTTACCGAGAAAGGATGTAAAGCATCTAGCTTCGGGAGATGTCTCTTGTTGAGTTTCTGCTTCTTCGAAGCTGCACACCATCTTTGGCACTAATGGCCAAACAAGTGGACAGGGAAGTTTCATGTCCTCTCCACACCCGGCTGCCCTCGGGAGATCTTTTTGAAATCCACGACCCAGTTGCAAAACGGCTCAAAGCTGAGATACTAAATACGGCAAGGTTTTTACAGGGGTCTCGGGGGGCATGTCAGGCGTGCCCAGAGTGACTGACGTGACTGAAGGGCTCGGGCTTTTTCGCTCCACACCAGGACTCCTATGCCCGCATTTTGGAGGAGCGCGAGCAGGACGGTCGGGCGTGAAGGGACCGGTTCCTGATTGCCTTCAGCATTGCCGAAGCTTATTCTGAAGAGGGGCCCACAGGTGTGATCATCTCAGCCAGAGATGATGAGGGCAACAAGATCAATGGGGCCTTGGTCAAGATGGGGCAATGGTGCGTTGAGTTAAATTCAGTTGTCCACTGAGTCCACTGGTTTGCCTTTGTTTTGCCCGTAGCTTCCCTCGTTGTCCCTCGTTGTGGCATCTCGCTCTTTTGCAATCGCAATCTCCTCGCATGGACAATAATGCCGGGATATCGGTTTTGGGCGGGCCCCGATCAAGTTGGCAGGTTGTTTGTTGGTTTTGGGTAGTCTATTTCCTGTCGGTATTTGGTTGGCTATTCAGAAGACACGCCTCACATCTTGGGTTGAGTCATTTCGTCTGGTTGCCGAAAGAAGTCCAGTCGTGCCATCTACTTTGACCAGGACAAGGCCAAGCGCCCTGCGCCTCCGCCGGCGCCGGGCCGCTCAGCTGCCCGCGCACCGGCGCCGGCTGCCCGCTCGCCGGCGCCGGATGCGGAAGCCGCAGCGGAGCCGCTGGCCATCGAAGGAGCCGACGTGGAGGAGGATTCCGCTGCAGCCGAGGCGGAAATTGCGACGGAGATCGAGTCATCGAGGGTCGCCCTTGATTTAAGGGAGGCCAAAAGCAAAGCCGCCATTCTGGGGATTCACGTCAAGTCCCAATTTTGACACCAGGGTGATAGTCAATGGCGCAATGTCCTTGTCGGTAAAGAAGGGGGATGACTAACACAAGATGGAGAAGTTGTGCCATCTACTTTCACCCAACCGCACCCACACCTTCCAGTGCCCACAAAGGAGGGCTACCTCATGGAGATAACCAGGCAGAGCACCTAAATAACCTAACACGTAAACCTGATATAATGCAACATAATCCAACCATTCCTTTGTCAGGTATCATAGCTGCACTGCGACGATTTGTTTATGTAAAACAATAACTTCCCACGTTCATTCTGTGTGTGTGTGTGTGTCTGTGTCATCACTAATTATTCTTAAATCTATCGCTTGTAGGGAGCAGGCAGTTGTTAAGGAGAGGCGCTAGGGGCCACCCACCTCGCGGAAAGGTTCTTCGATCCCTTCGATCAGAACCGCAAGGTTGCTTTGAGCCGTTCCTTCGGGAGGGTCTTGCATGTCCTCCATGATGCCTTTCCTCGCTTCTTCGAAAGGCAGGGAACCTGAGACGCCCGAAAGCTATTTCCTGGGGTCACCCCCCAGGAAAGGCACCCTAAGGATCCTCATTCCAACTCATTCCCTGCCCCTGCCTATGGAACCAGCAAGTGGTGGACCACAGTCCCAGTCATTGCAAGTGAGCCAACCACATCCAACCACAAACCGAGGGACATTACAGGAGATTGTCCTATCTGGTATATCGGTATATCGTTGTTTCCTTGCTTCCTTTTTGTTGAACCATATGTAGATTGTTTATGCATAGTAAATAGGCTTCCCTTCTTCTCCATGCCTTTTGCAGGTGCTGAGCGCCACGGACCGCTTGCGCCACCTCGCGGAGGAGCTCCACGTACTGATCCGCCAGGCAGAGAAGGCGGACGCGCGGATACGAGGCGCCGGGCGATGGACGCCTCAAAAACACACACGTGGTCAGGCGCACCCCAAGGTCTGGTTTTGCTGCCTGCCGTGGGCCCCTACGACACTAGACAGTGAGTTTCTTGTAGTGGGGGTTGGGAAATATGGTCAGTTCCGATGTTGCAAAATATGTACGGCCTACACTTGTTAGGTAGTTTCCTTTTGGAGGTGTACCTACCTTGTCCCCTTGTCCCAAAACAGGTGTCCTGAGAACCACGCTGGTTGGGGGGCAGGGCCGGGTGGGGCCCGATTGGCGAGGGGAAAGGAGGAGGTCCTGACACCAGATTTGGCTTTGAGTTCTTTGCGACAATGTGTTCTCCCTTGTTTTCCTTAGCCAACAAACAGTATGTTTTTTGCTTATGTCTGAGCCAGGGAGCCAAGCGCGAGGGTAGGTCCAATGGCAACTTGTGACCTCTTGGAGTTTGCGCCCGGAAACCAATACTCTCGGGACGGTTCCAATAACTGGGGGCTCCTCCATAGGGTTCCGCCCCTCCAAACATAGGGTTATTGTTTTGAGATATTCAACATTTACAGAATATATATATATATATATATACACATATATATATATATACATATATACACATGTTATGTAGGGGAGAGTCAGAAAACAAAAACACCATTTCTTTGTACCTGAGATGTGGGCAAACAAAGATACGTGTGGCATGCAGCCCGTGTGATTGTCAGGGACCCCGTTTCTGGGGGGATTGGAAACACCGATTTTTGCGATGCTGAATTGCAATAAATTCCGTTATTTGTTGTATCAGACAACTTTGTCAGCCATTTGGAAACAGAGGACATGTCTAGGAGAACTCAAGGCTGCTTGATTTAACTTGGAGGCCTCCTACGTTGAAATAGGTGTTGGCTTCACATTTCATGAACCTTATTAGTTCCCAAAACACCAAAACAAACTGTCACGAGAGATAGGTTGACATGAAGGCATGTTTGACCACGGCCACTTATGTTTTGGTTCAAGTGAGCCAGTACAAAGGGTCTGAAGCGGGTGACCCTCGGGTTGGAGCTAAACAGGGCAGGAATGAGGCACGAGCATTTTAGTTCTCCATTTTTAGACCTTCCATTTGGCTTATCCTAAGTAGGTGTCACAGAGTCTAATGAACATGAATGATGAGGTGATACAGGACGGGTCTGTGCATTTTTGCGGTGGGATGGGTCTAAGCCTGATGAAGTTCGAAGAGTCGCTCATTTAGATGTGTGCGTGCAAATGAATCTGGAAGAGTGGCTTTCCACTGTTTTCGTTTCAGCTTTCATCGGCGTGTTCAAAAAGAACCCTCACTCCTTGAAGCGAATTTGGCCCATTGCGGAATCCGGGACCCCATTTGAACAGCCCAGATTGGATGCACTTGCCAGGCCTGAAGTCGCAGGAGGGGGTGGAAGCGCTGGCAGCGGCGCAGGATGCCGGGGAGGAGCTGCTGAAGTTGAGCGGCTCCGGCTTGGATTGGCATCCCTTTTCGGGTCAGAGACCAAAGGTCCAAAGAGAATCGACCTTTGACCAAGCCGACTTTCTGGTGTTCCCGTTTTGTTTGAGATTAGTTATCAGTCATCCGAAAAGAGAGCTCAACCTGTTGTTTGGAGTGAAGTGGAGTACTCTGTTTCTCGACCCCCAATCTTTTTGCACCCAGAACGCAAAAGGTGAAATGCTCGAAAACAGGCTCGGTGCTGGAACAAAGTCGTCCGAAGAGAATTTATCTTTGACCTGGAGGTTCCGCGACTCTTTATCCTGAGGGGCTTCTGTTTTTTCCGACCCCCACGTGGTTTTCGATTTATACCCGATGCACTTCTGGTTCTTGTCTTTGGGGTCGGAGAACAAAGTTGGGGGTCTCAAAATGGCGCAAGGTCCTCACATAGCTTCATCATGGCCCCAGATTCGTGCTTTCACCTCAGCTTTCCGCGGGAACGCCATTTGAAGTGGTGCCGGATTTTCACTGGGGTGACCCTGGAAGCTCAACTTTAGAATTGGTTTGACCATATCATGAGCTGTGGCATTTGCTGACTGGTAAGCGGTGGGAGTGCAATTCCATAGGAGCTTTGCTGCATTTGAGGCGGCCTTGTTGGATTCTCATGGATGACATGTGGTTGCCTGTTCACGTTTGGCTTCTGTTTAAGTAGCACCAGTTTGTCGAAGCATACTGTACTGGTTTGGGCATTGGGTTTGGTTTCAAACACCAACGAGTACAGGTTGTTCTGACCCAGTAGAATCACCTATGCTTGGCGGGCTCCTCCTGGAGGAACATTTGCTTTTATGGGTTCCAGGACGTGCCTGTTGCCTGTTGAGTTGGCAAACGCGCTTGGCAGGCTGCGTGGACTTGAAATACATTGTGCAACCTGCCAGAGGGTACTTGAAAAGTGAAGCAAAAGAACGACTGGGTTTGAGGGACAAGCAAACGAGCAGGGGATGACCAGTTACCCACTTACCAACGCTCAAACAAGCAAAGTTTGAGGTCTCGAAGGGGAAAAGAACCAGCGGTGCTCGGATCGAAGGCCAGCGAGTCGGGGAGTTCGCCCCCAAAGTCTCGGAGGCGTCCATGGAGGTTGCGGAGTCCAGCTGCTGGGCTGAAGGAACCCGCGTCCAAGTCCACGAGTCAACACACTGTTGGCTTGGGGAGTTTTTTCGGCAAACAAGCAGTTGGGAACTTTTGGCCAACTCACGCGCAGGAACTGAGGGGGACATGGTCCAATTTACACGGGTTTGGTAATTTCCCTCAGAACCATTAAAACGGAACCACATGCGGCTTGTTTACACCAAAGTGGTTTGCACTAGTTTCAACAAGGGTTGGCCCAACTCTTGTTGCAGTTCAAACAAGTTTGACCCTTTCGGAGATGGCAGAAGGCTTTGGAACAATTGTTGAACCCTTTTGGTCACTTTGAGTTTCTAGCTGCACTTGCCCCATTTTTTGTCCGGGATCCTCCATTTCAGACAATGGCCCAATGAAGCTCACGGAAAAGCAATGAAGCCATAGAAGAGGATTCCATGACAGTCCTTCTGGCTTAGTTGCTTGCCCTCAGCATGCGGCCTATTGGAAAACAACGAGTGAGTAAGCTCATCCAGGAATGTATCAAAACAATGGTTTGAACAAAAGCCAAAGGGGAACCAATAGGACTTCAAGTGGTTCCACTTCTCGCGAGGCTTATCCGTGGCTGCCCGCTTTACATCGGTGCCGTGCGCGCTGCTCTTGACTGATGTGGCGCTCTCTTGCACCTTGGAGGCTTGACGCGGCGACAAAATCTGATGCAGCCAACTCCCATGCCTTGCTTCGGGCGCCAACAACAGCACTTCGCTCTTCTTTTGGTGTGGTGTGCTTATGACAATGTCGAGATTCAGGCTGTTTGCTTGCTGGATTGTTTGTTTGCTTGTTGGAGGGGTGGTTGGCTGCTTGCTTCGCTGTGAAATGTTGTTGCGTACTTGAGAGCTGGAAAGGTACACATCATGCATGTGTGTAACACCTTTCTCCAAGTTCGCTGCAACACCGGCTTTCGGTCATTGGACTGTCGACTTAGACATGGTTCAGTTGTTGCCGGTGGTAGATGCTACACTTGTGTGCAGCGTCTTTGCCCCACAGCTGGTTATCATGCTGGGCTGCCTTGGGCAGCTGCTTGAAAAGCCACCGCGCAGCCGGGCGCAGATCGCGCTGAAATCACGAGATATTGCACAAGCCTTGGTCAACGATAATAGTGCTTAGAGACGACTGACAGTCATCATCCATGTTTCGTTGTTTCTTGTGAACAACCAAGTCATACTAGCCTCTAGCCCAAACCTGCGTGCGATCCTGAGAGCTGGGGCCAAGTTCTTAGGCGCCCGCTAGTGCCCAATTAACTCCACTTGAGCCGCCTGGTCATTTGACCTCGAAAATAAACCTGAACATATCCCCAGTTCTTGCAGCCGTTGCAGCCGTTGTCGCTGACTTGTGCCCAGCCCTATGTCATGTTGTTTCCAGGTTTGTGATTGATTCCCAAGATATATATATATATATATATACAAGCTCAGGAGAGGTTCATGTTCGCAAAATGATAAGCCCCGGGCTTTGTCTCGCTTAGGGCAGTCGAAAAGGGGCACGCATTTGTTTCAGCCGTCAGGCCTCCAGGCTGCAGCACACCGGCAAAGCGGCCACGGAGGTTGGCCGAGATACCACCAGCACGCTGCACACGCTGCAGGCCGGCGCTCGAAACTTTGATCTCGGCTGGATTGGTGAATTAGAAGAGGTCCCAGGCCTCCTAAAGCTTGCATTTCCTTTCGCAACTTTTTGGGAGAAGATGGCCCTTTTGACATCAACCAACTGGTGCCCTTTTGCCACATGTACATCCATTCGAGGGCTGGGTTCCAGCTATACTATGGCATTGGGGCTGCATGTTGGCTTCGAGGATTTGGCGATGCTGAACAGATCGATAGGATGTGTCCGCATGTTTACGTGGCACACGAGTGTAAACCTTGCACAAGTGGGTGTGGCCAGCAGTGAGCATAAATACATGTTTGCTTGTTTTGCAATCCATGGATGGTTTCTCGTTTTGCGTTAGCAGATGGTAGCAGAGTAAGTCAAGGTTATTTGTTTGGCTTGTTTTTTTGCTTGATCGCTTGCCATGTTTTTTTTTCCCGTTTGTTTGTTTGTTTGTTTGTTAGTTTGTATGCGTACCTGTTTGCTTGTTTGCTTATTTGCTTCTTTGCATCTTTGCTTCTTTGCTTCTTTGCTTCTTTGCTTCTTCGCTTGTTTGTTTGTTTGTTTGTTTGTTTGTTTGTTTGTTTGTTTGTTGGGCTGGCTGGTTGCCTGCCTTGCTTGCATGTGTGCTGTTTTGCTGTCTTGCTTGCTTGCTTGCTTGCTTGCTTGCTTGCTTGCTTGCTTGCTTGCTTGCTTGCTTGCTTGCTTGCTTGCTTGCTTGCTTGCTTGCTTGCTTGCGGGTGTTGGGTTGGGCTTGGGTTAGGCTTGGGTTGGGTAGATGGGATAGTAGATTGATTGATTGGTTGGTTGATATATATATATATATATGTATACGCATGCAAAGATATGCTTGTTTTTTTCACCAACACCCTTGGTGATGCTCAGAATCCAATTGGGCCAGGAGAGACTCGCAAATCCTTGCACAGCAGGTGGTTTTGGTTGTATCCCTTTTTCAAAGGGCCGTCTGGATATGCCCCGAACGAGGCCTTACGCCCTATAGACGGTCCATGACTGGACTCATTGCCCAAATCCTTATCTGATGAGGCGAACCTGCAGATGGCGAAGATCCTGGGCACCGTTGACGCCGAAACGTTGAAGCTTTCCCTCAATTTGGTCACCAAGGCGCAGGGTTGTGGGCATGAGAGGGCGGTGTCCACTTCTGTGATACGAACATCTCGCCTTTGAAAAAGGAGGATTCGTCCTTTTTAGTGATGTCCTTGTCCCGCTTCGTTTGGGCTCGTTCTTTTGCAACGCCCAACCCAGCAAAGCTGTTAAACATTGTGAATCCAAACACAGGGCACACCCTGGAAAGAAGCCACAAACACGAAACATCACGGCCACATGTTTGTTCACAGCGAACAAACACAGCGGGGAAATAAACATCAAAACCGGAGATAAAATATTAACAACTACCAGTGTCAAACCTAAGCAGGAAGCCTCTTCATTGGCAGCATTGGGGGTCGCTATGTGAGTGCACAATGAATCCTTCAAAAATAGTAGTAAAGTAAGACACACACTCAAGGCCCTAGTCAGATATTTAGTGTCGCGAACATCGCAGGCATGGAACGCCGAAACTGAAAAACAGTCATGAGTGGAAGAACATGCAACGTGATCAATCTTGCATGTGTTCCTTGTGGGTTCATCTCTTACCATCCTGAAGTGAAGAACACTATACAATATTCTAGTGCGCCTGCCGAAAAGTTGATCGACCTTCTCTCTCACACACACAGATCGACACATTTACTGGCTTTGTCCGCGATAACATGAGACTCAGAAGCCCAAAGGTTCACGCAGAGCCAACTACAAGCAACTCGCATCTTTCCTAGGGCCCGGATCAGTCCATGCTTTGCTAAGCAAGTGCTATTGACGCTGCTTGACAACATCTTGAGATCGCTGTTCGAGGTTGTGTCAAAGCGGAGGACGGCTCAAAATTAATCATGTTCAATCTGTTGCTTCCAAATAGCACGTTTGAATCATTGAAGCAAGCGTCTTTGCCAGATTCGCGCCACGTTTCCATGGGGTCCTGTATTACGGTCCTGTGCATCATCCCTAGGTCCGGCACAAGGCCGCTTTTCCAGCTGCCCAGTGAACCTGGTAGAAAAACAATGGAACCCTTGAATTTTGTGTTGACCTCCAGTGGCCTGTTTGCTTGTGGGACCAACAGGTGGGTCGAAACACAGTGCCCCCCCCCTTTCCAGTTGGCGTTCAGTAGCATATAAATATGGATTCCTCCTAAAGCCACCAACAGAGGGGATATAACTGATAGAACATATTCGCCCCCAGCTAGGCCCAAAAGAGTGCTTGGGTTGAATAAAGAACAACCAGTAGCAAACAACTCAAGCAAGCAAACAAGCGAGCAAGCGAACACACGAGCCAACAACAGCAAACTAGTTGAGGTCCCCCCCTCAACTTAGCCAGGCCTCACGCCGGATGTTGGCGGCCATGCGCTCGGTGGATTCCGCCTCCGCCGACGCAGTGCAGCGCAGCGGCTTCTGCCTCGCGCACGCGCGGGCGGTGTGTCGCTTTGCTGCCGGAAGGCCGCCGGACGAGGTCCAGGCGACGTCGCTTCTGAGCGAGCGAGTTGTTGTGACCGAGGGAGCGACAAAAACAAACATATCCCTCACCTCACAGGGGTTTCTTTTTTTGGGGAGGAGGTGTCCCTTTGCGACTTTGGGGGTTTCCTTGTTTCTTTCTTTTGGGAAAGTTTCCCTTTAACGGCTTGGGCCGTAGAAGGTCTGCGCCGGGTGGGCACGGTAGAGACCCCTGGAAGACGTAGGCAACAAGGCAGTCAGACGTGTTTCGACAATCGGTGCAACCGTGGCCTTGGCGGACGTCGGCCGCGAGGAAAGTCAGATTCTTGGAGATCTCAGGCGACGCGGTAGGATATGTTCGAGAAGTTTGTTCATGCCTCACAACAACAAGGTTGGAAGTATTTGGGCTGCTTTGACAGCTCAGGCAGCTCTAGGTTGGAAACTCTTGGAGCCTTGCTGCAGGTGTAAATTAGCTGCGAAACCCCTGTGGACCTTTGGATGTGTGTTGCCGTTTGCGCATTCCTATGCAATCAAGCAAGTGTCAGCTTCATGAAACCTCCCAGACCCAAAAGCCACCGATCGCAAGAATTTCTATTACCAAGCAGGGCTTTTAGGATGCAATCAATGGAGGCTGTGCGGCATGGACGATTGGGAGCCGTTGGGCCAGGTGAGGGCGCCATATTTGGAGCGAAAAGAGGAGCCCTAGGTGAAAAACCCGTGGCCCATGCGGTCAGGAGTTTTCTGCTGCTGATAAACAGCATGGAACCCACATCGCCAAATTTGCAGAAGGATCTCCGTCCGGGGAACACCGTTTTTGCATGAAACTTGCACAAAAGTGTACATGAGCGGCTGCAAAGTGTTTTCGGGCCAGAAGGCGCATGCGTCTAAGAGCAATGGGATGGGGCCTCTCGAGAGAGAGAGATGAACCAAGCGACATGATTCGGGGAGGTGACCAGGGCTCAAAGAGGAGAGACGGGGGGGGGGGGGTTCAGCATCGCACACGAAACACTTGTCATATTTGCATATATAGATACATATTTATATACATACACTTTGTATATATATATATATATATATATGTATAATTCGCGTGTTGGGTTTAGCTAGTGGCTTTGGATTCAAGCTGTCCTCCCATGTCTGGCCGCCAATCTGGGCTTAAATCTGGAACTGGGGGGCTGCGTGTTGCGTGAGGAAGAGCAAGCGGCGCTGCCGGCACCGGAAGGCGGGTGAGAAGTTGATTCCCTGACTGCATTGACAGACTGGACTGCCCTTGTTGCCCCTTCGTCCTTTTGTGTTTCCGTATTTTCCGTAACACTCTTACTTTCCAAGTTCCTGGACTTGAGACTTCTGGTTGTCCACACACACACACACAAGAGGTGCTGGACTTTATACTTTTTGGGAAGCCAGTTTTAGTGGGAAGCTTTATTTCTCCCAAACCGCTCATGAAATGAGTGTTTCCTTCAACCCACACACAGTTGATCTTTGTGCAGGCGGTCTAAGTTCGCCCAATGCTGCGATGTTTTTTTTTTCTTCGGGCTTGCAGCTTCAGGGATTTGCTCAGTCGGCATGGGGACAGTTCCAACCATAAATGGGTGGTGCCCTCTTGCGCGTGGGTTTGGGGTCGACCCTTTGAGTACCGGTTTTTGATTGTAATTCTACGGATTTTGGCAGCCTTCTGACAGATTGGAGCAAGATTTAGTTGGCGGACCATCTAAATGGTTGGTTCATGTTGTGTTAATGTTGGACAACAAAGAAAGGACTGCTGACTTCGATAGCTTCTAATGTTTTGTGTGGCGTATTCGTTAGCAACACCTCGCAGGTTGATTCAAGCTTGTTTGAGTTTGAGGTGCAGTGTTTCAAGGGGACATCTGGAAACCTAATTGCACTTGCTTCAACCGTCACACATTGAATGGTCTGAATTTGTGTGGAATGTTAATTATTGGATGCTCGAGGCACAGTTTGTCGGATCCTTCTTGTGCTGGGGAGTTGGCTGGCCCTTGACCGGCATTGCCATGCAGAATACGGGCGCCCTGCGGGTACTTTGACCATATCAATGTGGACCGCTATTCACGAGCACGACGAAGCATTTAGAGAACATTCAATTGGTCTCATTTAGGGAGATTGGCCACGCATGACTCTCCCTGTCTCTCCTTCGCAACCCCTGAAGGTAGCCGCTTCTCTCCAAAACAGGAAGCACAAGGATCGCAGGAGTCGCCCTCGCCCGAACGGGCACAGCGCGGGGACTTCTCGCACTTCCCCTGTCCACCCGGGGCACCTCCAGAAAGAAGCGCCGGCCGGCATAAGGAGAGACGGGGGTCCGTATAGTGTTTCTCGAAAGGGACCCCCCTAAAATGCGTTGTCTTTGCTTTGGGTTCCCTTTGAAAACCAGCCCCAAGGGTCAGTCTTGAGAACCCATGTTCAGAGGGGACAGAGGACCCCTGGAGAAGGAGTGTCTTAGAGAAGGGCTCATAGAGCCAACTCAAGAAGTCCGTCCTTATTCGCTTCAAGCCTCCAAATGAAACCGCAGGGGTGGAAAGGTGTTGGGCCCTTTGCCTTTTCGCCGGCCAGTTTTTTAGCCTTGTGGCAGAACAGGATGACAGGATGTTTGGAGCACCCAATTATCTTTCGGGGGCCACGGCGTGAATCACTTTCGAAAGAAGGGCTCTGACTGGTACGATGTGGTCAACGTGCTGCAGAGGTCGCTTTTCTAACAGCCCAGGAAAGATAGGAATTGCTCTTCTTTCCGCCGAACAAGTAGTTGTCCGGGTCGGAACACGCTACGTTTGTGCCGTTTGCATGGGACCCTGTTGCAGGTTTTCTTACCCTTTCCTTTCGCTCCTGCCCTTGAACAGCAAGGCTTGCGAGCTACGCTTACACACCTGTAAAGCCTCCTGCACTTAGACTTAGAGTGTGGCTGGTATTTTGTCTCATACACGTGAATTTGTTTATTGTAAACGCTTCGCGTTGCCCGCCTCGGCCCAGCCTAGTTTGAGGGAAGGGTCAGGAACACCGAAATCCAGTGTTGGGAAGGTCCGAATACCTGAAGCTGGCTCCAGACAAGTCAGACAAGCCGGCCTCGCCTGGTTGGGCTGGGCCACAGGCTAGTCTCAGACACATCAGATAAGCCTGCGCTGGGCCTGAAGCTAGTCTCGGGCAGCTTGGCTGGACCTTGGGAGCGATAAATGGTCTACATGCGATAAAATGGTCTATGGGCTCATTGGCCTTGAAAAAACGGCCATTGGAGCGATAAAATTGTCGATAAAATGGTCCACGGGCTGCTTTGGCTTGATAAAACGGCCAGTGGCACGGGCGATAAAATGGTCTACGGGCTGCCTTGGTTGATGGCCTTGATAAAACGGCTGAGCTGGGCCTGAAGCTAGTTTACGGCGGGCTGGGCAGCCGCACTGAGGGGGCTGGGCTATGGCTGGGCTGGGCCTGAGGCCAGTTTCAGACACGTCAGACAGGCCTGGCCAGCAGGCGGACTGGGCTGGGCTAGACGCCAGTTGAGCCCAGGCTGGTGAGGCCCAGTCTCGGCGCTAGATAGGCTGAGGCCTGCGAGTCTCAAACAGGGTGGGTGGGGTTGGCTTAGGCGGGTTGCTGGTTGGGCTGGGCCTGAAGCTAGTCTCAGCCACGAGGCTGCGAAGCCATGGGTGGGTTGCTGGCTGCTGGGCAGCCGGACTACGCTGTTGGTTGCGCCTGGAACTTCGGCTGGGCGGGCTGGGCTGAGCTGTGCTTGGGCGGGTCGCTGGATGGGCTGAGGCTGGGTGCTGGCTGGGCTGGGCCTGAGGCCAGTCGCAGACACGTAAGACACGCAGGCGGGCCGAGGGACTGGCCTGAGGCTAGTCTCAGGCTGGCATACCTTGAGACCAGTCTCAGACTGTGCTGAAGGGGCCTGGTCAGCCTGGGCTGCTTAGTAGCTGGCATAGCTTGAGACCAGTCTCAGACACGTGAGACTGGTCGTTGGCCTGAGGCCAGTCTCAGACCTGAGGCCAGCCACGAGGCTGCCACTTGGGCCTGAGGCTGGGTGGCAAGTTGCTGGCTGGGCTGGGCCTGAGGCCAGTCGCAGACTAGTGGCTGCATGCCCTGAGATGCGCCGGGGCCTGGGCTGGGCAGGCTGGGCTGGGCTTGCTGGATGACTTGGGGCCGTGCTTGGGCTAGGCCTGTTTCAAAAATCGGGAGGGGGTTGGGGGAGGGGAAAAGCGAAGATTCTCTTTGGAGATTTGGAGAAGAGATCTGAGCGCCCTTGGCCCCTTTGGGGCCGAGGCGAATTTGCAAGGTGGCGTTGCAAAGAATGTAATTGGCAATTAAGGTTTTGAAAGCCCTTTCAACCTCAGTAGCCTCCCAATACCCACATGACGCTTGGGGGGAAGACAGCCACCTGTCGATGTACGCCGCAGCATGTTGAAAAGTGTGAAGAACTGACTTCAAACCTGTGCGCTTTGTTGCGACATGGACTGAATAAAAGGCTCACTACGCATAGCTGGATGGACTGCTTTCCTAGAGACGGAGAAAATGGTACACCAGGGTCCGCATGAAACATCTCAGGCGCATAGCCGCTCGGTGTCTCGGCTGCATATCAGCTGGTTGATGTGTCAAACTGAGCTGCTTTCAGTCTCCTTGCAGTTGGGTGAAAGTAGATGGCACGATTCCCTTTTCGCACTTTCATGCCCTTTTCATGCCCTTTTCATGCCCTTTTCGCACCGGCAGAAGAGACAATATGATCTATGCCACAAATGTTTACCCTTAATGACTGGCAGGATTCCCGCAGTTTCCTTGAATTCAGCAAGCGGAAATGAGCCCGCAGCGTGCCTTTCTGTTTGAGAACTTCTCATGGCGAGTGTGTGCCGTGCACCCTCCACCTTGAGCCTGAGTCTTTCTTGCATGAGGCGAGGCAGACCGCGAATGCCAGAGAGAGGTAGAGAGAGACTGAGAGAGAAAGACAAAGGAGCTCGCTCCCTGAGTTCATGGACTTCAAACTGTTTGGTGTTGGACCATTTCGGTGACAAACAAATAGTTTGGACCTTGCTGAGGCCAATGCACGGAAAAGAGAGAGAGAGAGAGAGAGAGAGAGAGAGAAAGAGAGAAGAACATTGCCCTTGAAACCGGAGCGAGCCCTAAGCCTCAAGCCGGTTGGTGGCCCTTTTGGATGCTACATGATTGTTCGGTGCCGAATCTTTGCACCCATGTCTTACCCCTTAAACAGGTCCCTTGATTACAACCTACATGTGCTTCTGTATACCTTGAGTTTCGGAGGGGGGGCTCTCAAAGGGTTTTTGGTTTACCTTTTGGTTGCCCTAGCTATCCCTTTGGTGCCCTCGAAAACCGGAGAGGTCCAGTCGCGGCTGCAGAGCGACCGCCTGCTGCGGCAGCTGGACTTGGAGCTGCGGCAGCTGCAGGCACGCCTTGGATCTAAGGCGGGGACTGGACGATGCCGACTTAGCCGAGTGGTGTCCTTTTGGTTCCTTTCAAATAATTTGTGGTTGCCTTTTCAATGAAGACAACAACTGGTTGGTTTCTTTTTGGTTTCCTTTCAAAGGAAGACAACACATGGTTGGGTTCTCTTTGATTTCCTTTCAAAGGAAGACAACAACTGGTTGGTTTTTGTTGGTTTCTTTCAAAGGAATACAACACATGTTTTGTGTTGGTTTCCTTTCAAAGGAAGACATCGCATGGTTGGGTTCTTTTTGGTTTTCTTTCAAAGGAAGACAACCCATGGTTGTTTCTTATTCCTTCCAGAGGAATACTACAAATGGTTGGTTTCTTTTGGGTTTCGTTTCAAAGGAAAACAACTAGTTGGGTTACTTTGGTTTCCCTACAGAGGGCGACAACAAATGATTGTGTTCCTTTTGGCGTCCTTCAACGGAAGACAACAAATGGTTAAGCTCGATTTAACTTCCTTTCAATTGAAGACATTTATCAATAGTTGTGTTTGTCTGTGTTTGATTTCAAGGGACGGCCATTGGTTGGTATATTTTTTCAATAACACAGAGCAACGGAGCAAATCGTGGTTTCCATGCACTAGCCAGTTTTTGGTTGGTTGGCTGGTTTCCTTTTGGTTCCCTGAGAAGGCGAACCCTGAGCCATCAAAACCCTGGAGGAGGGCATTTATTAGAAGCCCTGGCTGATTGTCCCCTTTAGCGGGAATCCGGGTCGCTTTGGGCGACACCCGCATCAGTAGGATGGGCTAGCTTTTGTTAGCCCAACTTCAAGCAACTTCCAACTATACACACCTGGCTATTCGGGGGGTGGGGTTGCTGGGGCAAAGGTTGACCATGGTCTTATCAAGATCTTTAGGCTTAGGGGGGTGAGTTGGATTGTGGGGGTGCAGGGTGGTTGTAGGGTAGTTGCGGGCATGTGACAAAATATGGGGGCCAATAATTTCGGTTAAACACCACACCCCCATGTGGGGTGGTTAGCAGGGATCGTGATGGGGTTGCAGGACGGTCCTTCGGTGCCTGAAAGTGAACAATATGAGGGTTTCTGGAAGAACTTCATGAGGACAGTTGCCTGAATGCAGGCACCCATGCAGCCCTCAGCTGCAGCCAAAGAGCTGGTGGCTGAGCTGTTGCAAGCGGCCACCGCCAATGCCGTTGAATCCAAGGAGACTGGGCAAGCATCTTGTTGTCGCCCGGAAATTCGTCTCGGCAAACCATCAGATATTTCAAGTGCACCCTTCCACCTTCCGGAAAACTTCTCTTTTGAGGGACCTTCTGGCAAGCTGCACGTTAGTGAGCTGAAGGGCATTCGAAGTAAGTAATGGTGATAGCTTTGGACACGCTCTGACGGCCCGTGGGCCTGATGGTTCTGGGCCTGATGCCCTGATGCGCATGTGTCAAAATAAGGGGACCTCTAAAAATGGCGGTTCGCTTTGGATTCCCATCAACCCGAAAAGGGTACCCTTTTCAACACAAAGACCACAACCATTCGGAGCCAGGATCTCCGGGTCCCCTTCCTCTTCGTGGAGCGCTGCACCATGTCCGCGCCCTGGGATATCCCCGCGCAGCTGGCGCGGATGGTGGCTCTCGCCGAGCCGCAGGCGGACTGGGACGTCCGGAGTCTTCTGAACCCCGATGTGTGTTCAACCCGGGGTTGTCATTAGTTTAACTACTCGGCGCTTAGTTTTTCAGGGTACCCTTTCCGGGACGGTTCAAAGGACCCCCCAAGGGAAACCAGCAATCTTTGGCATGCCCGACTCATGGAGACTTCCAAGCCAGGCCCTTGGCAGCCCACCCATGCTCTTGGTTGACCTCCCAAAACACATCATCGTGTCAATCTGAGTGTATTTCTTGCGGTAATAATCCCTGGCCCACCCAGAAAGAGTCTGCATGTTTTCGAGGGCTTGTTTGAGGATTAATTTATTGGTTATACTTATCCTTTCAAGATTCTTTGCTCAGGCATCTCTTTCTAGGTTTTTTTGCTTGCTTCCCCGCACTGCCTTCAAGATCAAACCATGAATATTTCAGAGTGCTGTGGCTCCCCATTTGCCCAATGATCAATCTGTTCAATAGTCTATGGTTCATTTGGGAGGGACATGAGAAAACTCGAGCAATTCCCCGCAAACCAGGTCACCTCACCAATTTTCCCATCTGCTCTTGGCAAAAAGTAAGCTTGACCATGGCTCACGTGGACGCGCTTCCACTCCAGGCAAGACACTTGCCCGGGGCAGCTCCAAGTGTTCTCAAGGGCAAGAGGTTCGTATTGAACACGACAAGAGGGGACTGTAATTTGAGACATTCCCATGTGCATCAGGTGCGTTGATCTTCCCTTGGGTGTTGCGTGACCTGTATTGGTTCGTCCCGGAGAAGTATCAACATACAGCCAATCCATTGCTGACTTGGAAATCACACATGTCTAACTAAGCAGTGAAGCTTCCAGACGCATATTTCAAGCGGCCTTTGAACACTCCGCGGACTCCGCAACTGAGCACTGCCCGAAAACGCATGCAGTGAATTCAATGCAGGGTTCTGCTTGATAGTGTTGAACCTGCCAGTGACCGTGGTTGTCATTGGACCTGGCTTGCCAGGGGTACCAAAGGAGCATCGCAACACCTTTTGGGGCGCCTGCTTTGTGGACATCCTCGCAATCCGGAGGGACCATTGATGTGCGGTGGATTCCCCAACATCCATATCCCAGCTGATTCATTATTTAAACACAAGCACACACACCAAATGGAGATGGGAAACAAACACCTGCTGTGACCGCAACATCCAAGGCTAGGTGTAGTTTAAAATCAGCCCCTTCGAGGTTCCGGTTTCCTTCAAGCTTGTTCTTGACAGCTGTTTTTCTCTTTCAAGTGCTGGCGTCCATTCGCTTTACTGATGGGAGCAACAACTAGTTGCTTGCACAAAAACCTTTGGGATAGTGCCATTGCCGGCATGTAGGTTGCAGGTTGTGTTCTACCTACTGTTCTACCTACTGTTCAGGCCGCAAAGTTCCTCAAAATGACTCTGCCCAAAGTTGAGGAATCCAAAGGCCGCATTCCTTCAAATAAACCAAGTAAATTGCAGTGAAACATGTGGGTATTGGAGGCGGACCCCAAAATGGTGGCTTGCCCTTTACTTCCCCTTCAAACCAACCTGAAAAAACGGTGCCTTCAGAACTCACATCCTTTGAAATGGGGATTCTCCTTCCATCAGTAGTTGGACATCCTATTAAACCCCTGGTTTGGGGCTGGAAACCATCTCATGTACATATTGGTGCTGTTTCCCTTGAAACCAGCACTAAATGACTAGAACTGAGGCACATGCCAAGAATCCATCGGACTTGGCCCATGGGTCGCTGACCGCGCGGAGGCGCTGCTGGAGGCGCTGCGGAAGGCCAAGGCGGAGCTCGCCGCGGCCTTCGGGGGTGGAGCGCTGGAGCACTTCGAGGTGCTCGCGCAGGCGAGGAGAAACCGAGGGAACGGTTCAGGGTAAATGGCCATGGGTCAAAAGCCCGATTAGCCCCCAGTGAGCATCTGTTGGTATATACATCCACATTTGGCCATGGTTCAAAGCCAATGGTACCATTTTGGGATAGGTGCACCACCCATTTTAGAACCTATTTTCGTGGGGATTGGGATGTTCACTGGGGGTACAGGGTTTTGACCCATGGCCATATTACCTACCTGGATTGTCAGGAAACTCGCGAGTCAAGCAAAAGGGTGGCATACCCGACGAATTTGAACCCCTCAATTTGAACCCTCCCTGAAAAAACAACTCACCCCCAAGCCTTGTTTTAGAGAGAGATTCCACAAAGGGGAAAAGGAGCTCACAGTTCTGAACTTGGGCATCCGTTTCTGTTTTCATTCTTGTAACGGTTGGAATGGGCGACGCAGTGCCAACACGGGGGGGGACTGGTTGAAGTCGTCTTTGTTTCGGAAGAATGTGTTCAACGAGGTGGTTCAGGCAGGTTGATCTTATTTGCGTGTTTGTTGTTTGGTTGGGCTTTGATATGGGTTCGGAGACATGGTATTTTGGTTTGTGTTTTTGTGTTCTTGAGTGCAAGCAGGTGAGTATGGGCATGTGGGTATGCGTGGAGAGTTGAGTGGCCTCTCACAGTACCCGGCACCCATTAGAAGCTACTTGGTTGCATTCATCCCCGAAATGGATTATATCGAAGTGCTGATACTACCAAAGTGGGCAGACTGCATGTAGTTACGCCTTGCCGCGCAAATGGCCAGGTAAAGATGTTGCGGCGAACATGCGACCGGTTATCTTTTGTGACCCGCCGCTGGATTTACCGGCATGTAGTGAAGGACAAGCCATCTTCCCATTGGCCGTTGGAGCACACGGAGAGACAGAGAGCGATTACCTCTGTTCGCAACACTTGCTTGCAGTTCGGTGAAAATCGATGGCACAAATTCTCCATGGTTTAGTCATCCCTACTTGCGGACATTGAGGGAATTGTGCTAACTATCCACTTTCACCCAGGTGCAAGCATGTGGCAAGATTGGCTTCCATCTTGCACTACTGTTTGCGACATCTGCAAAGTCATCAGTCCACCACCAAGACAACTTAGATTGCAAGCTCTACCGGGACTGAGAAGCTCAGTGCTTCTCCACTCATGCTCCATGCGCCCCCCTCTTCCACGTGCCACGGCAGGCAGTTGTGAATGCCAAGCTTACGTGATGGGCGCTGGCTTGGATTGGGCGAATGCAGATGCAACACTTTCCGAGTTAGTGGCACCTAAAGAACTGGTTGGTGGACCGAATCCCAATGGAGTCGGGTTTCCCATTTGGTTTCCCTGTGATCCCAAGTATTTTGTGGAGGCTGGCGCCCGCTGTTTGGATTACAACATGTACGTGCCCCTGCCAGTGCGTGAAAGCCGGTCGCGCGGTTGCCCCTTATTTGTCAACAGCCAAGGGACTTTCATTTTGAGGAACCCCGTGACCGGGACAGTGGGTAGAACACAAGCTACATGCTGCCTGCAATAGCGCCAGTCCAAAGGTTTCTTTGCATGCAACTAGTTTTGCTTCCCTCCGTGCAGACGCGGAGGCGGCAACTCACATAGACATGCGGAAGAGAAACATGGTGCCAAGAGCGTGCTTGATGGAAGGACATCAGGCTGAAGGAATCCAAACAGCCTTTCTGCGTTGCTTTTGCAGACCTTTGTTTTGCACTGGGGTTTCTGGCAAAAAGGGAGACTTCGAGAGCGTGTCCCGTGTTTTCGAGTTTCGAGGACTCAAAAGGGACAGTAAGGCTCGGTTGTGCAAACCCGACCATGCAACCTTTGGTGTGCTTAGTGTTGGTCTGCATTTAGTCACGGGACACGGCAGGTCCTTCGTTAGCCTGTATTTGTAGTGTTTGGGACGTGTTTGTCCAACCAGTTGATGGAAACTGACATAATTCCGTCGTTCTACCAACGACTGCAGAGATTTACCCTGCCTGATATGTGAACCGGCATACGAGCAAGTCCAGTGAAACATCAACAAAACTGTGTCCGCGAACAAGAATACATCAAGTAGCCAACATGCCCGCGGAAGCTCGCGGAAACAGTCGTGAAAGAGACAAATTGCCGGCGGAAGCAATGGTTCACTCGGCAGAAGCTTCGTGGAAGGTTCGGGGAATGTTCAGTATGTCATAGTTTGAAGCATGAAAACATAGAGCAAGAACACAGCTCAGTTGAATCTCACCCTGAACAGTTGTGTTTGTCCGTTTGAGTCTAAGTGCTAGTCATCCTCCCACCGAGCAGCTCGGACTACACATGCATGCAGTACGTGCATGACGGGCACATATGCAGGCAGACAAACATACAGACAGACAGAGACCGCGACAAAGACCGAGACAGAGACAGAGACAGCGGCAGTGACAGACAGAGAGAGAGAGAGAGAGAGAGAGAGACAGAGACAGCGGCAGAGACAGAGAGAGAGACAGACAGACGGACAGACAGACAAACAGAGGCAGGCAGGCAGGCAGGCACAAACAGACAGCCAGGCTGACAGACAATGACAAACAGACAATGACAAACAGACAATGACAAACAGACAGACAGACGGACAAACAGACAGACAGACGCAGACAGACACGCACAGGCAGACACAGACAGACACAGCCAGACAGACAGACTGCATTCGCGCATGCACACGTACATTCTTTGTGATGTACACATACCTAGATACCTAGGCTCTCCTAGACATATAGACTCCTACATGCACGTGCATACGGACATGCGTGCGTGCGTGCCTGCTTACTGACAACTTGCGGGATGCGAGGAAACTTGTGAACTCTGAGACCGAGATGAAGCACTGGGCCAGATGTGGGCACTTGTCCGGTTTCCTTCATTGTTGGCGCGCCAAGGCAAATCTTATACTTTGCAGAAGCCTGACACCAACATCTTGGACGCCACACCTTAAATGCCAAAGCTTGAACGCCTTGGCTGTCTTTGGCTCATTGCGAGAGGCATTCAGCGATTGCATAGGGAACTGTGGTACTGTAGTCTTCGCCTGGGACCAACTCATGTGCAGCAGCAGGAGCGGGGCCCACAATTGGTAGGTATGCAAGGTTCAAGCGCCTTAGAGGTGGTGTTGCGGACGGGCTAATGAAGAGACGGGAGCAACGCATTTTCTCAGCAAGAGCATTGGCACAGAGTAGCCATGTAATTACCTGGGTTCGGTTCAGGTGACCCGCTTATGACTTGAATCCGACTCGATCCGGAGCGTTTGTGTGTTTAGGCGGAACCCACCACAATGGTAAACTAAAGTAAGAGCAGTTGAAGGTGTTCTTACTTGGGTCAGTCAAGGCTTTTCAAATTGTGCGCAACACATGCGACGCTGCAATGTTCAATCCAAAGTCTGACATCAGCTGAACTTGCAGGGAAAGCCTGAAACCCTGAATAATGCGCCATTCTACTCGGATGTGAAGAAGCAAGCGTCATGGCTGGGGACGGCAGGCTTTGAGCACCACTTGGCTGAGAAAGGTTATCGACCACTACTGATTTGTGGTAGGCGGATCATGGGGCTTGTACTGATTGAGTTGTGAAGAGACAAATTATGGTGATATCAAAGTATTTGTCAGTGCCCTACAACATTGCACGCCCCCCAAGGCAATGACACTCACACATAGGTGATGGATTTGATTCCTCATACTTGGCTGCTTCTTAGTAATATATCTCTTGACTAGGTAACTCTCAATTTTCAGTGGCTCGTTGAAAGGTTAGGCGCTAAGTCAGGGATAGCTCAGTGTCAAGTCGCTTGTTCGAGGGCTAGCTGCTAGCCGCTAATGTTCACGGATTCACCTCGTTCAGGATTCTGATGTTTCATGATTCTACGCAGGCCTTATTTCAGGGTCCTTGTTTTATTAAATGCCCCCGTTCTTTTCATCCGGCCTTTGCTGCATACTGTTTGGGCATTTTCAACTGCACGCCTGACATAGGATTCTTTTGATTCAAAGGCTGCTTCACTGCGCGGCGGACAGATTATGCTCTGTATCAAACCTAGGAGCCGTCTTGAGTCTTGGGGAAGGCTGCAAACAGGATTCCAGCTTGAACAAATCAAATCACAAGCCGGTTGCCCTGACCTAAACTCTGGAGCCGTTTAGCTTGGCAAAATCTAGGGCCTTGCCGGTGCATGTGTGCTCCGCCATCACAAGCAACATGTGTTCACTATGTTTTTGCCGCCACAAGGCACTGGAAGCTGGGGGTACACCGCCCACAGTGTACGTAGATGGGGTTGGATGGCTTGGCTTAGGTCCCTTTCCTCCCTCTTCTCTCCTTTGTGCGTTGTAGAACGAGAGGTTCCCCTAGGCCACAATGAACCGAAGCCTGGACGCCATGTTGCAAGCCACCCCCCAAAATCCGTTTACACGGAATGCTGCCGAGCGCCAGCAGCAACACACCCGAAATAATCAATTGCATCAGAGAAGCGAGCTAATACATGCGCTGTCCTTTCATGTAATGTGCCCGACGGATTGCTAGATATGTTGCCGGATGCAGTGGGAGCTTCTTGCGCCTCCAAACCTCATCTTATGCAGCACCCCTGGTCACTCATTCCGAGGTCTGGATGCGGTTGCTAAATTCATGCGCCAATGTGATAGCTCTGTTGACCAAGTTACATGAGCATTGAGTCTCCTGAAGCCCTTTCGATCTATTTCCCATGTGCGTCCTGGCCAGACCCGTTATTTGTTCGCCGTTCTTCCATTTGTCCAAAACTGCTGTTTCAATCTGTTGGGGGCCTCTTGTTGATTCTTTGTGGTTGGTCATTGTCCTGGAATGACACTCGATCTATACTGCCCCCGCGGCCGCCACTGCTGCTGCTCCTGCTCGTTCTATTCCTGGTACCGCTGCTCCCACAGATACCAGTAGAGCCATGACAACCCCACAAGGGAGTCGCGATTTTCCCACATCATCAGGATCAGGTGTTTTTGGGCAGTTACGTGAATGGCATTCGCAGACCCGTAAGATACCTTGTTCAGGCAGTTGGCTTGGTGTTAAATGGGGTGGTGTCCTTCAATACAGCCCCAACCCTGAAAACACTTCCCCGATTGATTTAAGCTTCATCTAGTTGGAACGGAGGCAGGCTAAAGCATGGGGCTTCTCTGGAGAGCAAGCAAGAAGCGAAACCGGAAGCGTCGCCAGTGTCATTTTTTTGGACTGTCTGACGGTTGTCGCGGCAGGGTACGGGAATGCTATCCCTTTCATTTATAAAAAGGAAGCCCTTCAGCTCCTGGCAACCCAATTTGTCTGCCGAACAATTGGTGAGCGAACACGTTGTCGCCCCCCTTTTCAACAGAAGACGATGCTATATAATTACAACGTCACTGTTGCTCATGAATGTGGATGTTCATGTGGTTTTGTTGGGATACCTTGGCTGGCTTCTGTTTCTCCCTTTTTTTCGGGCCAAGGCGGAGCCTCTTTTTTTCGGGGAGAACTTGAAGAGCGGCTTCCGTGTCGCTGTGCAAGTGAGTGCTGCAGGAATGCTGATTATTGTGCGTAAGTTGTAGTTGTGAGGTCGTCCTGGAATTTTGGCACTTGGTTTGCTTGAGTTGCTTTGACATTTTAATCAACCCAGACTCTGTAACCCTGGCTGGGCCAAGGAACCCACATTCCCTACGAAGAAGCGAAAACCCTAGGATTTATGTTTGGGTTAGTCACAAGGGCACCCTGTACCTGAGGCACGCTTTGCCCTTCTCGGAGGTAAGGCATGGCTTAAGTGTGACTAATGGTGAAGGCTTGCAAAGAGCACTTTTCTCACTCAGCAAATCAAGGTTTGGAGAGCTGCAACAGTGTCTTGGACGACTTTGCGGGCTTCGTCCGCACGTGGGTCGAGGCACCGGCGAGGGCCAAGTGGACAAGTTGCTTGCACTTTCCAATGGATTGAATGTGAGGTTCCGTCGGAATCCAGTAGTCTACAATCCATGTCGGCGGTCCTTTTTGTTCCCATGTAGGGCCATGGACTTTTGACCCATTTCTCCTGACAAGTTGGGAACTTCAGATTGATTGGCCCTTGGTCGATGCTTGAATGGAGGATGTTTGTTTTCAGTGGCTGGTCTGTGAAGGTCCGGTCTTCCTGGGTGCAGCACTGCAGCGTAGCAAACTTGATGGTCTTGGGCTTCCAATACGGCCGGACGTGTGTAGCATTGGGGGCCAGACTGAAAATCCAGCACAAAGTTGACGAGCGCAGGAAATTGGCCCTCTGTTTTTACAGGGACGTGTCTTGGGAAGCTCTTAAACCTGGCTTCCTGTTGTGGTCTTTGCATGGCGATATCCGCCTTCTTGTGGTCCTTTCTCTCCGGAGGTTAGACACTTGTTGCATTCGTTTTCACTAGTCAGACAGGGCTGCCCCTCTTGCGTAGCCCAGAATGACTGGGCACGGGGATAGTTTGAGTGACACTTGCTGGTTTAATGTGAAACATGAGCAGTTGTGTCAAGAACCGTTTGGAGAGTCATGAGCACGATGAGTAAATTGTGCAAATCTAGTGGAGTCGATCACACCCCCAGGACCCAAGCAACATCCGCAGCATCCATCCGCAGCGCTCCCTGTATCAAGCGGGGCGCAGGTGCTATGCCAAAGGCATAACCCAGTGACAGGTTGCCGCGGCTTATGGACCCCCATTTGGGGCACCTCGTGGGCCGCTGTGCCTTGGAGCTGCATGACTCCCCGGAGTCACCCAGCATGAAACCCCCGGCTTTGCTGGAGCGGGAGAAAGTGCCGTTAGATGTTCCGAACTGTCTGCCGGACTTGCATAGTGACATTCCGGAAGCAGATGATTCAGAGCCTTCAGAGCAAGCTGGGATGGTTCTGGATGTGGCTGACTTTGCCATTACCGTGAGGCAAGTAGACCGAAGCACGGCAGAGCAGGACAGTCTGTGCCAGCGCAGCATGTCATGCCCTGCCTGGTTTGACCGCCAGGAAAAGGCCGACGCGGTTGGCAAAAATAAGGAGGATGCGGAGGGCGCGGAGGGCGCGGAGGGTGCGGAGGGTGCGGAGGATGCCGATGCCACGCATGCCATGGATCCACCTCTTTTCGTGAAGGTGAACAGAAAGCCAGCTGCGTCAGTCAGGGCAGCCACGTTGGGCTGTTCAGCTTCTGTTCTGAAGACTAACAACAAACTGTCAGCGGTGTCATGCGCGTCAGGCTCGTCAGTCCTGCACTCTGGGGACCACAATCTGGTAAGTGCGCAGATGGCTTCTATCCTGCCACTTGCGGGTCGGGTCACAAAGACAACGACTGTAACTCTTTCGTTGAGCGCATTCCCCCTTGCTGACGTCATGGAAAAGTATGTCCTTGAGCGGTGCGCTGATGGACGGTCATGGAAAAAGCGGCTTGCCTGTGGCTTGGGTGTGCTTGCTGCCCTCACTCTGCTACTTCCCGCGGTGTCCTTTTTCCCAGTGGTGCCACCATTCCCAGCCCCAGCAGCCGGATTCTGGGCGAACTGGCGCTTCAACCTCATAGCGCACCCTTTCATGAATTACTGGCCTGCCAGGGCCGGTCTGGAACTCTTTCTGAGAGGAATTGAGCCCAGGGATAGAGAAAAGCTCAAGTGGATAGCTCGTTTAGCGCCGCTGGTCGATCCAGTGACTTGTTTGTTTATCCATTGGATATTCCATATGAACGGGATTTTCCCCGTGCCCTTCGCAATCCTGACCAGCTGCATTCCAGCCATCATTTGCAGCCTTGCAGTGGCATACTGTCTGCTGCCTGGGCGGTTCCGCACTTCCGCTTTCCACCGCTTCGTTGCCTACACGGCCTTCGCCTGGTTCGGGTGGTCCCTGCAGTTCGCAGGCCTGCTTGTCTGGTACCAAGCCTTCCCCAGTTTGGACGGCAGCTGGCAGATGTTCAGCGGGCTGCTGGTCTCGTTGGCTCCCGTGCCAGATACCGTGGCGCCGTTTTGTTTTTTTGTTTTTGGTTGCATGGCGGGTG